TGTTACCAAATTAAGTCACTGTCCTTTCCACACATCATCTAGTTGTAAAAGTATCAATGTATCAAATAAGAGTTCTTCTAATAAAGAACCAAATTAAAAACAAAACAAAACAAAAAACACAATCATTCTAAATTCACTACAGAGAAATTTTTCAGGACTTCACTAATCATTTATCCCACTTTCATATCCTATATATTTTTTCATGTTCAACAAACTGATTCAAATTATTTAAGTTATCCCACCATTTAATGAGAAAAGTCTCTGCAGTAATTTTAAACCATAGAGTTACCTTAATTTCACCACTGGCTGTTTTTTTTTCAGAAGTTCTTGTAGTTCTTCTTTTGACACATAACAATAGCTTTTAATCTCATTGGGATCTGGATCCAAAGTTACATTCTTCTTCACAAACAAAATGTAATCAATTTCATGTTCACCCCAAATACTATCAGACTGAGCCTTGTAGTGAATTCATGTTAATTAATTTATTCTGGCAGAGCCTCTTCCATGGGAATTCCTAACTCAGTTTTTAAACACCTCTGTGCTGCTCATCTTACTCCAACTGCATCATTTTCTTCAAGTTCTCCTGGATTACTTAATGGATGACTATAACAAGTATTGGTAAAAACAACCTGGAAAGGTAATTTCAGCATCTGATCACTGCTGTAATAGGAGCTTGTTTTCTGTGTTGAATAAGAAGACACTAAAAGCACGATGCAATAATCTTTTTCAATATTTTCATTCAAGTAGCAATTCTTTTTCATCCCAGCCCCAATTTTGTTGTCATCTTCAGTAAGAATGCACATCTGTGCCAGAAGTTGAATCTGATCCTCATCGAGATTGTCAGTGTTTATCTCAGTCATCGTAACAATATGTCTGACCTATCTTAAAACACCTGCGCTCCTGCTGCAGCCGACTGCCCTGTCACATAGCCCAACAAAAACACCTGCCAAGGCAAGCAGCACCTCGCCTCTCCTTTGAGCACCAGCAAGTAGATTATTTTTTTGCTTTGCAATAATTCACAATATATAAACGGGATCATAATATGTGATCTTTTGCATCTGGTTCTTTCACTTAATGTCTTCAATGCTCATCAATGTTGTACCATGTATCAGGATCTCATTCCTTTTTATTGACAAGTAATGTTCTATTCTATGAAACTCTTACTGTCATTGAGTCGATTCTGAACCATAGTGACCTTTCCTTGGATTTCTGAGGTAGTATCTCTACAGAAGTAGACTACACAGTCTTCCTTCTGAGGAGTGACTAGTGGTTTGAATCACCAGCCTTCTGGTTAGCAGTCAAATGCCTTAGGCTCTATACCTTACTTATTCATTCATCAGTTGGCAATTTGGGTTGTTTCTACTTTTTGGCTATTATGAACAATGCTGCTATGAACTTTTACACATATTTTCAATTCTCTTGGGAGTGGAATTGCTAGGTCATGTAGTATTCTATTTAACCTTTAGAGGAACTACCACATTGTTTCCCAAAGTGGCTTCAACATTCCCAACAGTAATGTATGAAGGTTCCAATTCCTCCACACCCTTGTCAACAATTATTAGTGTCTGTGTTCTTTATTGTAGTCATTTTCATGGCTGTGAAGTGGTAACTCACGTGGCTTTCATTTGCTTTTCCCTAACCCTGATGTGTGTGTTAATTGCTTTTTCCTCATTCTGTTTCCTTTCTTGGTTCTTTTTTTTTAATCTTTCATTCATTTGACAAATATTTATTGATTGTGCATGGAATCGATTTGCAGTTAAAAGAGAAATTTCTCCTCAAGCTTGTTTAGTAGTCAGGAACCTAAGTCTCCTCATCTTGGCCTAGACTTTTTTTTTTTTTTTTTT